CCCCCATCACCTTTTTTACTATAAATTAGTTTGTGGATATTTTATTTGAAAATGCTGATGTACATAGTTCAAAATTCAGATGAGTAGTTTCGTAGTTATTAAAATGTTTGTACTAATGATAATAGTCCTAACAAATGGTTTCACAAAAATATAAAATATATTTAATATTGGAACTAGCATTATTATACTTTGGACATTTTTACAAATTATTAATGTTGATAGATTAACATTAATGACTAAGATTTTCAAAACACCATAGTCTTTATATATATATTGTAAAACAATTTGAATTCATTATAATGAACGCATTCTTCATTAGAACACAAAGTTAAATAACTCAAAATCTACTCGAACAAATTTTGATTTTAATAARTCAAATTTTTTAGAAATAGTATAAGTAGTTCAAGAATTTGAAAATATGGACTTAAAGCATATTTAAAAAATCTAAAGATCAATTTTTAAATAATTGCATTATTGAAAAAGAAAAAGGGAGTGGAGTATGTTCGATGAATCACCATGTATATAGCTTAATAATATTATAATTGAAATTAATAATTTTTAAGTTAAACCTAAGAATGTATTTATATATTTATATTTCTTAATTATGAGTTGTTTGTTATTTAAGTACGAGTAACGATATTAGACTGGTTACTGGCACATTGCATACATTGAGTTGGTAAATATTTATATGTTGTATATATTATGTAATATGTATGTATAATTACAGTATGGTTATTCTTATAAATTTTTACAGTTCGGGAACTTGTTAAAGTGTTATAACTGTTATAATTGATTGGAAATTTAATAGAAAAAGGATTTTTTTTGTGAAATCTCGAAATATTAGGTACTATTTAGTATTATATTGATAAAAATATGTAATATACCTGMTATTTAACATTCGTTGCGTTGAGTAGTAACTAAATGTAAGTTTCTCATTAGTCATTATGCTCCGAAAACAAATATGAAGTTCATAGTTTGAATGAAATTAGGTAGGTACATATTTAAAATAAGGATATCGACGTTAGCATATTATAAAATCATTATGTTAGTAATTTTTTAATGTTTTTTTATTAAGAACATCTGAACATCCGTATAGACACTATGGCCGTTGGACGTAAAATTGCGTCACATAATGTAGATAATATTAAGATATATAGATGATTGCAAAATAATTAATATTAGTAAATAAATTTTGGTCAGGTCTTTCTGTTCCACATTGTATACATTAATATTTCATTGAATTCAAATTYAATACTATCCATTACCCATTTGATACAATATAAAGTAGAGAGGTATTTATACTTGCTTACTTCGTTTTTTTAAAAACATTTTTTAGTTGAATAAATAGTGCTCTTCCATTTTAATTTGATTCAAACACCATAGAAACTTCTATAGAACAAAACATCATAAACAACTACACTGTACAACAATTACTAACAACAGTAACAACTCACGTCTTACATTTGATTATATAATCATGAAATAATATCTCAAACTATAAGTATAACTGTATAACTTAACAATATCTTTAAAATTAAAACCTTTTTACCAATCGTTTTTAATGATTCTAAAATTATTTTTATTAGCCGATTACTGATTAGTCATATTAATCGTCTACCTTAAATAAATTTTATTTGGCAATAATTTACAGTATGATAAAAAAGTTTGATATAAGTAACTGTTTTTAAAATTTTGAAATACAAAAATGAACCGCAACAWTATAATAGGTATATTTTATTATTTTATTTATTAGTTATTATAGTTCTGTAGGTATTTCATTACTGACTACCGTATACAAAGACATAACCAACTACTAGTCAATACGAACAAATTGACAAGGAACGTATGATCCTTTTATAATTAGTATTTTATTAATTATAATTTGAGTGATAGCTCAAAGCATACTTTATTTTTAATTTATATAACGCATGTATTTAATTAGTAAGAATTAATTTCACTATACATTTTATTTTGTAACTTAACTCATTTATCATTTGAAAATGACTTAAAGAACGATGATTTTATTGTAACGGTAATATTTGTTTCACATTATATTAAATTTAATCGATCGGAAGTATACTACCTATGTGTTTTTTGTGTTGGAGTTTGAGCCGTGATATGTGTTAGCAGCTGTCGTCTTTGGATTTTGCCGTCGATCACTACAGAAGTGCGTCACAGAACAAATAAGTTTGAAACTCGACAATAATTAAAATCAAAAAATCAAAAAATATTTAAATATCTACCAGAAAWTTATTATTATCATAAACGTGGTTCGTTTTTAATACGGAGGTAAAACAACCATGAGCTCACATATTATACACCGTGGGCACTGGGCATGCACTTGTCTTAATGGTACAGAACATGAGCGGTTGTCGTGCGGTCGGACGGGATTCGACTATAAAAAAAAAAAACATACGTAGGTAAAGGTATATACTATTATAATATTATCGGCTGCTGATGTTTGCGCGACGTGCGGCGCCGGTCGTCGGACAACTGTGCACCGTATAAAGAACATTCAAACGAAGACGACAGTTAGCGATAAAATATCAATATAGTAACGTACCTACTTATAATCATGCGAGAGCTGTGATTGGAACCGGCTAGTGACGAAAAKCAGGTCGAGGTGAATATACCAACATATAAATATATAATATTATGTACAATACATATAATAACACCGTAATATGTATATACGATACGAAATGTTGCATCTATCATTGGATCCTTGGACGTCCTTCACCCCGGTGGTGCTGTACTAGGTATATAGTATATATTATATAAAATATGGTATAGTAATAATTATTGTGATAAAGCATTAGAGATTGATCTTGCGATGCCGCGGCAGGTATCCGAAGTATGCCATATCAGACCACTTCAGCAGYCTGTTGACTGTTGTTGAATGTTATTTTTTAATTTTTTAATTTTTATTCTGACAAACCACAAGTGACAAGTCAAACGAGTCCGATTTTCTTTTGTTTAAAAATTGTTCCATGTGTGGCGGTAAAATAAAATAAAACAATGCTTCGAAACCGGTCCTATTCGATCGTATAGTGATGGAGAGTTCAATGCATTATTACTATCATAATAATATCCAACGACGTGTGTTCTATGTAAGTGCTATTGTACTAGTTAGTAGGTGCCAGTTAAAATTAAATCACACACTCACCCTAATTAGACAACGCCTTTGAACTTGGACAACGATTTATAATGCTTGCAGGAAGTAGATACATATACTATACCTATAGCCATGACTAAATAGATCTATTTAGTAATGTCTATCAGCCTATCATATTATAAACTATAGGCTTTTTTATTTTTTCTTAAATATTTTCGTCATTAATGCGTAGCAGAAAAAAAACTTAAACGAGATCATCATTCTTATTTTTCGTATATCAAAGAGAAACATATTATAGAGAGATACCAGGATGTTATGAAAATAAAAATCTAATATGTACATATGTTTTCTAAATTTACAAATTTGTCAAAACACTAATCATATATAAATACATTTCAGTAAGCTATAAAACGCTAGAAGGCATTAACAATTTACTTACAATCGCATAAATATAAACGTATGCCACATACTCGTATAAAATATTATGTAGTAACTATAGTAAGTACAACAATGGTTTATAAACAAATTAAAAAGGTTTAAAATTTGTTATAAGATATTTATTAACAATTATTTAATATCAAAATTGGAATTGAAGGTTTATTATTAAGTACTATAATATTAAGAAAAACAATTTTCTATACATTAATTAGTGAATGATTAACTTTAAATTATTTCTAGGGATCAACTTGGTACAAGTCTTAAAAATTAATACTTTTGAATCATACAAACACTTGTAAATGAAAGTTAATTATTAGGTACATAATATTTCAGTTGTATTGATACACGAGTAAGTTAGGTAAGTACCTAGGTAAAGTAAGGTAGGTATTTTAAGACATTTCATTACCTAATTATTATTTATTTATTATTATGTTTAAATTATTTATTAATATGTAGGTATCTATAAAACATAATTTACCTATAGCGATCTTAATAGGTTTTAGATGTTAAGATTTCTCATTGCGTCAAAAAGACGTGTTAACCAAATTCATATTTGTGTAATAATTGTGACCTAACGGTTCCTACCTTTTATGGACATATGTGATATGTCAATAATTATAACTAGTAATAATAGTCAAAAGAATCGTGCTAATGAAATTTAATTTGCAATCATT